TGCATTGAGTGGCCCTTTTATCTGGAGCGATATGTAAATGAAGGCAAAATTTCCCCTTTAAAGGACCCCCTTGATTTGTCTTTTCAAGCTACACCCACCCACACAAAATTTGTGCCCTTCCCTGAATCCTTTCCTCTCAATTCCCTCCATTCATTACAAAGAGAAAAAATGATCCAATGGCTGAATTTGGTGCTCTTGTTAATGTCCCTTCAAGGTATTTCCCCCTCTTTAAAGAATTAACTTCATTTTGTTCCTTTTTGTATATAGAAGACTTCATTGGAACAGTTTTGTTTTTAGGAGCTCAATGTCAAATTCAATTGGTGGAGTCCGGAGGGGATGTGAGAAGACCTGGGGAGTCCCTCCATCTCTCCTGCCAAATCTCTGGATTCACCTTCAGCAGCTACGGGATGAGCTGGGTGAGACAGGCTTCAGGGAAAGGAATGGAATGGGTGGCCGACATACATACAGGCTCATCCCCTTCCACATTCTACTCGGACAAATTCAAGGGACGCTTCTCCATCTCCAGAGACGATGCCAAAAGCCAGATGTACCTGCAAATGAACAGCCTCAAACCGGAGGACACAGCAGTCCATTACTGTGCGAAACACACATTGAGAGGAAGTGAATTTGATGCCAAGCAAAAACCTTCCCCTCCTCTGAGCAGCTTTCCAAATTGAATCTGAAAGTTGAATTTGGGTGTTTAAAGTGAGAAGCAGAAGGTAAATCTCCATACTCAATAGGGAAACTCAGATCTGATCTTCTAAGAAGCCGTGTGGAAGATGACTGACTTTTTAAGTGAGAAGAAGGAAATCTTCAGGCTGTGGAACAAACTGGGGAGTTTGTAAAAAGTGGCTTCCTAACTAATCCTACTATAATCCACCCTCAGTGAATGCAAACAAATCATGGGTGTTTAACAAGCGAGAGTAAGAATGATTATCCTAAAAAAAAACGATTGTAAAAGTGGTAAAGAACAGATTTTGATGAATGAAGAAGAAAAAGCATTTTTATAGCACTTCATGGTACTTTGCAGACATCTCTGAGAAGTTTAGAGAGCCAGCACATTTTTCCCCGAAATCTAGGTCCTCATTTCACCAACCTTGAATGGTGGAAGACTAGGTCAACTTTTAGTCAGTCAGGATTGAACTCCTGGCAGTGTGCAGAGTCAGCCTGCAATGCTGCATTCTAACCACTGTGCTACCAGGGAAATACCCATGCAACCCTCACTGCATGGATTAATATAAGCCATGTTTGATTTAGCAGTAGATATGCGAAATATATAGGAAACTTTATTATTTGTAGAATATAATGTTATTTCTTTGTAGAAATAATTAATTTAGAAAAAATGAATATCTTCTCTATCTATCTTTACTTTCATTCAAACTCTGACTTACTAATTGTGCCTCAAAAAACATTTGGATTTTGTGGTTCTTTTCAAAGGTAAGGGGGGAGAATGTGAAAAGCTTCTACTGAATATACATGTGTGTTTCCCTTCATGTCCTGTCCCCAGCGGAGCCCTTTTAAAAGTTATAATTGCATGTTCGTTGCATCTCCCTTTGAATCATGGAAAAGCCCTGAAACTCTGCAAGCCTTTGTTTTAATTACAATAATATAAACCTGCCATGTCCGCTAAAAAGAGAAAGAATCTGACTTCACTTTTATTAAGACTGGAATATTTTCTGAAAGTCCCTCATGTAAGGAGACTAGAAGGCAAACTGTGAGATTAATGCACTGATGGGATTTTTTATCTGAAGTGATATGTAAATGAAGGCAAAATTTCCCCTTTAAAGGACCAACCTTCATTTCTCTTTTCAGGCTACACCCACCCACAAAAAGTTTGTGCACTTTCCTGAATTCCTCCCTCTCAATTCCCTCCATTCATTACAGGGAGCCAAAATGATCCCATGGCTGAATTGGGTGTCCTTGTTAGTGCTCCTTCAAGGTATTTTTTCTCCTCTTTAAAGAATTAAGTTCATTTTTTCCCATTTTGTATATAGAAGATTTCATTGAAAAAGTCTTGTTTTTAGGATTTCAATCTCAGGTCCAGATGGTGGAGTCTGGAGGAGATGTGAGAACGTCGGCTGGCGATTCCCCGGGGGAGGGCCTTCTCTGTGGCTTCTCCGGCCCTATGGAACGATCTCCCCATTGAGATCCAGACCCTTACCACCCTTCCAGAAAGTCAAATGTTGGCTTTTTAAAGAGAGAAGCAGAAGGTAAATCTCCATATAGAATTTAGAACCTTAGGTCTGATCTTCAAAGAAGCCATGTAGAAGGTGAATGACATTTCGATACATGAGAAGAAGGAAATCTCTAGGCTGTGGAACAAAATGGGTACGGTAGTTTGTAAAAAGTAGCTTCCTATCTAATCCTAATGCAATCGACATTGTCCAATGAAGACAAAACATTGGTGTTGAACAAGAGCAAAAATGATTATTCTTAATTATTACTGTTGCTCTTGCTACAATTTCATATCAAAGAAATGGATGTGCTGACTTCGATTACTCCTTAATAAACATTGGAGAGTGAATAAGACTTGAAAGCCTCCACTGTCTTGTTTAACAGGGAAGCTACTTTTTACAAACTACCGTACCCATTTTGTTCCACAGCCTAGAGATTTCCTTCTTCTCACCTATCGAAATGTCATTCACCTTCTACACGGCGTCTTAGAAGATCAGACCTAAGGTTCCAAACTGTATATGGAGATTTACCTTCTGCTTCTCACTTTAAAAAGTCCACATTTGACTTTCTGAATC